CTGTGTCAGTACCCTTAAGCATACTACCTAGGTCGTATGCGTTTGTGTCAAATGGGGTATTCTTCCCGCAAAAGCCAAGTCAAAAATATACCTTGTATGGATGACTTGTGTAACCGCCTAGGTAGGACTAGGTCGTATGCGTTTGTGTCAAATTGGGTATTCTTCCCGCAAAAGCCAAGTCAAAAATATACCTTGTATGGATGACTTGTGTAACCGCCTAGGTAGGACACAGAAACAGTCACCGCCCGCAATACATGTGGATTTGCGCCGAATTCTGAGGAAATTAGGTTTACGTTTAGGCTGACGATTAGGGCTAAATTAAACGTCGGAGTTAAGGTCTGAGTTGGGGTTAGGATCAGGATTATTATATTAAGTATTAAGATCATAGCGCGAGGTGGGGCGTTTGTAGCTCAAATGGTTAGAGCGTTCGCTTCGCGTAAAGACCCCTTCCACTATGCGGATTCAAATCCCGCCGAACGACTCGAGTATCTTCCCAACTCAAATATTATATTAAGACTTAAGGTTTGGGTTCGTGTTTACTGCTCACTTTCATGTCAAGGTTAGTGTTAGGGCTAAGGCAAGGGAATATTTAGCCTTCCTGCAGCTTATCGCGATACCGCCTACTTGAAGTGGGTAGGGCATTCCTATCATCGTTTTTTGTTTAGGCAGCCATAAAATCCACCTTCATTATTTATTTCTCTCAAAGTACCGCGTTGGGGCAATACGTCTGTCCGAAGGTTTTTGTCTAAAAGTTGCATCTGGCACACCGTTTGTGGAACACTACCGACGTTTTTGCTCCCTGGTTGCCCAATAAGCGTGCGTATGTTTTAACAAGGCAACCTACTGTCTTTCTTCATAATGCTATGGATTGGCATCTTTACACACCCACACATCAAGTTACCTCACATAATTCCAACATTGGTGGACGAAATACTACAACGTTCTGTATTTGACAAATATATCCACTACCTGCGTTTTATGGTTCGTTATCAGTGGCAAACAAAAATGCTCCAAGTTAAATGTTGCGGATTCGAACAAAGTTATCTTTTTACAATGCTCCAACGCTATATCATATTTTACATTATTTCTTCTTTTTTAATTTGCTGTTCAGTTTCATCCACTTTATCAAGCCACAAATAGATAACCTCTACTACAACCGTTCGATATGAACTGGTTTGTGTTGAAACTATTTCTCAGTTAGTAAGCAATAATTTGTAAACCAACCATATCCTCTTGTAAAAAAAACATTCGTTTCTTTAAGGACCTATAACTTGGGAGGGCGCACGGTGGATAGCTTTTTGTACGAATTCCGTGATACTTAACCAGTTAAGTAAGCCACCCTTGGGGTTGGGTATGACCGGCTGATAACAGCTAATAAATCAAAAATGGCCATTCCAGTCTCCCTTGTTCTTGTCGATAATATATTTCGGCCTATAATATGCTAGCCGTTGACTGACTGATGGCTGGGCATGAGAGCTAGCTCCAAGACGCAAAGCTACGAGTGAGTCCCGTAACCGGTCGGAAAGCACCTATCGAAAGCGGCAAGGCAACGAGCCCATGGCGCAGTAGTTAGAGCGGTTGACTTCTAACTAACAAGTTGGTGGGTTCGAGTCTCGGGAATCGCCACGCGTGGAGTTGGGTATGGCTGGATGATAATGGCCAAGGGACCAGAATTGGTCATTTCAGTCTCCCATGTCTTCGTCGCTAATGTGTTTCTGTCCATATATACTTCGTGGGTGGATATGGCTGCATGTCAGCGGCTTATATGCCAGGAATGGGTGACCTGGTTCTGCCTTATGTACAAAAGTATATTCTGCACAAACTTTCTAGAAAATATGTTTACACTTATGGGAACATTTAAAATCAACTTAACATTTAAAATTACTCAAGTAGTAAACTTCGGCGAGTTTATCCGACATTCGCTTGGTGAGCCTGTCCAGCTTTCGGAATTCAATTTGGTTACCAGTTATTATTATCAAAATCCAACACAACCGGCTCCATCGCCCTAGAAGCAAACAGGTTTCAGTAACATCTTGTTTAGGGCGTTGACTAGATTTGATCATGAAAGTGGGAAAGCGCATGTGTCGTACGGCTAATATCAAGGATAATATGAGCGGCATGGCTTAGGTATTCCTACCAAAAACAATCCTCACAGCTGCTTAGATGGGCGTAAATGTGGATTCCTTCGGGGTATCCATGGGATTGAACTAAGCTCCGTCAAATACCCATTAGTTATATTTAACGCAATATACTTTTGATGTACGCACCAAAGTTAGTCAGGCCTAAGTCACAATTACGAAGAAATGTTCACCTGAGAAGAATAGTTCGGAAGGATATAACTGAGGACCCAGTTGTGGACTACATCATACGGGCCTTCAGTTTGGCCCCTTTAAGCTTCGTTGGTAAACAATAAAAGGTAGAAGGTGAGCAGTGAAATAGCGTGTATGTTTTTACATTGTATTGGGCTACGAGAAATATTCGTCTCCCCAAAACACTCATGTCTTAGTTGACCTCTGTAATAAATTTTACTCGGTAGTTTTATAAACCAGACGTTATGGGCTTTTACTAAGGATATTTAATTCATCCTTTCAGCTGTCTGCAGAGGGGCCTCCAAGTGATCATCTCGGACCGCACTGGAAATGTATCATTTTGCATACTCCGTAACCAACATCAGTAAGCCTTTGAACGCTAAGTTAAACAGGAAATCCGGCAAAGTTTCCGACACAGAGGGCAAATGCCTCACGTCAGAAGCAAATTCGAAGGGAGAAGTAATTCCCTACTGAATGAGCATAAAAGTTTACTTCTCCCCGGCACCTTAGGGTAATATTATTGAGTTAATTCAACAATGGAGAGTCTAAAATTATGCGCATTGCCTAAGTCATCTGCATGTATGATCAACACGTGTGGGTCAGAGAAAGGTAAGCTGAAAGACAGCCTGTTGTCACGCATGAACTGACTTTCGTCTTCGTTCCGGCCTGGTGAATATTGAAACATCACCTTTACTTGAACGCATGGTTCAAAATGCATGAAGTCGGGTACACCTACTGAAGCTGTTTGTTAATTATGCCGAGGAAATCCATTCAGGCGTGGCCTTTGAACTGTCTGAAGTAGTACGCCGGGCAGCCGTTATGGCCAAAGAAATTTCCCCTGGTCACTATCAAAAATGCCAGCGTCCCTCATCCAGTCAGAAGTAAAGTTCACACCTTCGGATATTTATGCGCAACAACTCCACAGATTCCTACGGCAGCAGTTTGAATGCTTCATTCTTCCCGAAAAAAGGCCCAATTTATTCAAATTATGTATATATGATCAGCATAAGACAGTTTCGGTAAGGATTACGTGTATAGTCGTCCAAGGAAGACAGGCGAAGAGAAACCCCCACAACACATGTGGTTGTGCACCAAATTGCGACGAAATTATATTTAGAATTAAGTTCGGTGTTAGGGTTGAAAAGGTGTAGACGCAATATCTGGGACGGGAACGTCATTCGCCTGCAGTTTCGAATTCCTTCGCGAAAGCATCATCAGAGACAGTAGCAGAATCGCTTAATTCGTGCACAGAGAGTTGTAATATTTATAGGGGTCGAGTTGGCAAACGCCAGATAAGTAATGGTTTTACTCTAGCGATCACATTTACGTTTTCTTAATTACTTTTGAGAATTTTTATAACAATTGATTCCACTCAATGCAAAGATGTCTGCGTTGATTAGGAAAACTACAATCACCGACTTCTAACCAACGTTGACGGCAAATGCCCGGAAATAATCTCTGTACGAACGGGCCCGAAAAGGCCCTACGAAGCATTGTTGATAAACGCCCCTTCGGGCTACTGAATTTTATCAGTTTAACCTGACTACAAATTGCTGGTTTCGAGGTATGGGCTAATTTCAAGGCACACATTTTTTTCAAAATTTATCATTGACTTTGCAAAGCGTCTCGTAAGACTGGACGGCGGAAGACCGCGAAGTAATCGGACAACCAGTTATATCGGATGGGGTTAGCAGGAGATAAACACTGGACCACATATTTCCGGTCGAGATACCGGACACAGAGAAGACGTTTCGTTTCCTTCGGAGCCCCCATACATTGCCTGCCAAAAAACTGTGAAATAAATGTTAACTTTAGAGTTCCTTGTCTTTTCGAGCAAGGGATTTTATTCAGTAGCTGTCAATGCCACGGTGGTGAAAAGGATTCGCCTGACAACAGCCTTATTTGCTTCGCGTTTTGGCAAATTTCGTCTTAAATGACGACTAGGCAGAGACCTAATGATTGGGAGTAAATCGGCGATCTTCCAGCAACATGTACTTTAAGTCTGCAGATATGGAAAAAGCCCAAATTGTTTTGGTCTTGGGTCAACTGTCAACACATCAGCAAAAAGTTTACCGTAAAGGTCAGGGATGGAGCTCCAGATTAAATATATTCACCGAGGCATTGCTTTGCAAGCCACAAAAGCGTAAAAAGAGGTCAATGCAGCTGTATGATCGTCAAGCATGACGTAGGCGCAACCTCTGCTGACCTAGACAACACCGTAAAACCCTTGCTCGTGACGGTGTTGCAGTCTACTCTGGTCAGTGTTTTAAGGCCCCGTAGAACATGATGGGTAGATGACGAAACTATTTTCCAGCATTAAAACAAGGCAACAATAGGCCTCAAAAAGACAAATTGTCCAGTAAATAAAGAAGACACAGCAGGCGAAGGAAGGATATCATCGCCAAGCCAAAGGTTATAGGACCGTGGAGATTTCGAACTCCTGACCTCGTTCTTTGGCATATGGTAGATGTCCATGCAGATTGGGAGTGCACACTAGGTGCCGGCTTCCTAGAGGCACACACAGGCTATATCATAATATAATAGTTACTGGTCTTCGTAACAATGGTTACTAGAATTAGCACCTTAGCATAGGCAAGTACTTATAGCAGCAGTATCGTAGTTCTCATAGTCCAGCCCCTAGATGAAACGGACACAGCCTCGGAGGAGAGAGTTGAGAGGGCGGAATACAAGGCAAGCCCCGATGTGCTTAGGACCTCAAAACTGCATAGCATAAACCTAGATTTCTCATTCCTTGTTGGGAAAAAGGAAGTATGAGCTCCAGCACTAACTTTAAACCAGCGTCACTTCTGACAAATGTTAGCGTCAGAAATAGTACCAGTACTACTAAGACTCGGCTACATTGATAGTAGCAATGGTAGCAGTAGAAACAGTAGTAACCGTATCAGTCTTGGCCTCCTTGGGTCTGTCTTCACACTTACTCAGGGTGAGTGAGGGTAGGCAGTACAGTAATACCCGCGCAATCTCTACTGTCACGTAAGACTAAGTTAGGCGGTGTTTCGACTTGCATTGCAGCAAGCAGTCTACACCGGGCCCCGTCTAGTCTTTGAGACTCCGGATGAAGGTGAAGAGTGCAGTTGGCGCTAACTACATCCGCTATCACTTTAAACTACCCCCCGAGGCCGTCAGTTTCTGTGCCAATCTGTTGGTGCGCTTGGTGGACTTCATCGAAATCGATGGTCGAACACACAGATGTCCTATCTCATGAAATGTCGACTAAAATTCCGAAAAGTGGTCCCGATTTGAACAAATTTCTTAAGCAGAGTTATGACAATGATTATCGCCCCTTCAAATCCCAAGATAGTTCAGCGACGCTAGAATGCCCGCTTTTGACAGATCAGGCTTCTGGTCACCTGCAGAAAGTGTACTCTGCAACAAATGGCTACTTAAGAAGTATGCCTTTTTTCATGGATTTTCTATATGCTTATAAA